GCGGGGGGCGCCGTCAGGGAGGGCCTGCTGCCAGAGAAGCTCGGGTGCGGCGGGGGGCTCCTCTTCGTTTCCCGGGGGCGGCCTGTTCTCCAGGCACAGGGTCCTCTTCTCCGCACCTGTCACTGAAAGGGCACTGTCGTCAGAGACGGAGGCTTCCCAGTACCCCCGCACCATGAGCCACGTGTGAGCCGTGCTGGGAAGAGCTGGTTAGCGTGGTTCCTAAGCTTCCCCCAAGGCTGAAGCCTGACACTGCAAAGCGGGGAACCCGGGGGGCCGTCTCGCTGGTTTGGGGGAGAATTACCCCTGCCCGGGCCGGCAGCACTCCAACTACTGAGCTTCTGCTTCAGTTCCTGGTTCAGCCACATGTGGCGGCCCAGCTCCTTCTCCAGAGCTTGAATCCGGCTCTCATATTGCCTCTTGCTGTCTGCTAACCCCTCACCAAGGTGATCTGGAGGGGGCAGACCCAGGGCAAGGGGGTGAGGGGCGGCGGGCGGGGGCGGGGCACGCGGCAGGGGCGGGGCGCGCGGCGCTCACCCCGGCTCTGCTGGAGCAGCAGCTGCACGTTCTGTTCGTGCTCCTTCTGCTGCAGGGTCAGCTGGCGGTCGGTCTCCAGGCGCTGCCGCTCCAGCGCTGCCTCCAGCCAGCAGACCAGCCTCTGCTGCTCCTCCAGCTGCATCTCCAGCTCGGAGAAGGCAATCTGCTGCTGGTGCTGCTCCTCTCGGAGTGCCACGGCCTGTCCCAAACCCAGACACGCTCAGTGCCCCAGCGCGGCCCCCCCTCCCCCAGCTCGTCCCCGACGGGGGGGGGGGTGGGCAGCAGGGGCCCGGCCAACGTGCCACCACTGCCCCGCGGCCCATATCATTGGGAAATCACCAGGGGGCCCTGCTGAGCTGAGCTTCAGACACCTCCACAGTGTGCTAGGCAGTGATTTCCCAGTGACAAGAGTCCGCTCTCAAGACGAAGCTTACCTCCTGTGCCTGCCTCGAGCGGTGGGATGTCACCGCGGCCAGGATTTCTCACCCTTAGCGCTACTGACATTGCAGGCAAAGAATGTGTGGTGGGGGGGCTGTCCAGTGTGTTGTAGGAGGTTTAGCGGCATCCCTGGTCTCCACCCTCCCTGCTGTGATGACCAGAAGCTGCTCCAGCCATGGCCACATGTCCCCTGGGGGCAAAACCCTCCCTGTTGAGAACCACTGATCCGGGTACACCAAAGGGGCCAATCGACCGGGGGGGGAAGGGGCAGGGAGAGAACTGGGGCTTACTTTCACTAAGAAAGGTTTTAAAAAGGAGAGTCTGAGGCAGCCCTGGAGACTGGAGTTATCCCCGATTCTGTCCCCGCCCGTGGGAGGAAATGGCCATCTCTGCAGCTGCCTAAAGGACCCCCACCCCCGGCAAGCGCCAGAAGGCAGCAGCCGGGGGCCTGGGAGCCAGTGACCCACCTTGTCAAAATACTTGCAGAGCAGGGCTCTGGTCTCCGAGGACGAGAGGTAGCTGAGCTTGGCCATGAGGTTCATCTCACACTGGGACAGCAAGGAGGCCGAAGCCCGCAGCACCCGCTGGCGGCACGTGATGGCCTCGTTCTTGTACTCGATGGCCGCATCCAGGGCCTCGATGGCCTCGTCCAACTGGAAGAGTGTCCGCTCCTCCTGCGGGACACGGGCACGTGTGGGGGGGAGGCCCGGCTTCCCGCAACCACTCCCGGAACGACAGCCCCGGGCAGACAGGGCCAGCCCCTGGCCACGAGGGAGACATCGTGTCCCCTCGTCCTGAGCAGGCAGGCAGCACGTCAGGAGCAGGGTCCCTGCCCGCTCTGACAGGGGCCAGGCAGTTTCTATCACAGCCCTGACCCCAGGGGGAGGCCAGGGCTCTCAGAGGCTGCCTTCCGCAGCGCCTCTCCCGTGCTCTACAGCAGGGAGCACCAAACACTCTATGCCGAAGGGAAGGCATGGCGGGACTGCCACGGAGGCCACAGAGGGTCTGCGGGGCTGAGGTGACTGCAACGAGGCTCTCCCTGCTGCTCGGGACTGGCCGTGGGGTGCGGGGATGTGCTGCTGACACTCATTGCCACCCGGGGGCCCAGGCGTGGGACACACGGGCTGACACTGTGCAGGATGCGGAGGGGCGCCCAGGTGTCCCAGCCACGGGGGCCAGAGCCGGCGGCAGGGCCAGGCCAGCATGTCCCTGGCCGCCACCCCCTTCTCTGGGTCTCACGGGCGGGGAAAGCACATTCGGGAAGCAGCAGGGCTTACCTCGGGCGACAGCAGGCTGCCCCGCCTCAGCTTGCCGTCGATGTCCAGGCGCTGCTTCAGCAGTGAGTCCTTCTCCTGGCGCAGGGCGTCAATCTCCCCGCGCAGCCGCTGCTGGCTCTGGGCACTGCCCTGCCGCAGCTGCCCGCTCTTCTCCGACAGCTCCTTCTCCAGGTGCTCCAGCCGGCTGGACACTCGCACGATGTCCTCGCTGAGGGCCTGGGGGCGGCACCGCCAGGGGTCACGGAGGGAGCAGGCCCCGTCCTCACAGGGCTGACGCTAAGGAGGTTGTGGGCCCTTCCCTCAAGAGGCGACCCTGCGGGGCCTCCCCATGTGTGCGGGGCCTCACCTGGCTGGACCGCAGGCGCTTGCTCTCCAGCCCCGTCTTCTCCTGCATCAGGGCCTCCTTCTTGGCCAGGATGGCCTCCCGCTTGTGGAGCTCCTCCCCCAGCTCCTCCAGGGCCCGCCGCTGCTGCAGGACCTTCTCCATCTCCTGATCCAGCCACTTCTTCTGCTCCTCGATCTTCTAGGGGAGGGTGGGGGAGGCAGGGAGGGAACTCAGCTCTCGCCCCCGGGGGGCCGAAGGGGCCGCCGCCCAGGGCTGGGGGGGAGACGGGCGGGTGTGGGTGCTCCCGGGGACGCAGGCCCACCTGCTGCTGCTCCAGGCTGACCACGGAGCCGTTGCTGCCGCTGCGCCGCTTCCTCTGGAACGCCGCGATCTCCTCCGTCTTGATCTTCAGGATCTTCTGCTGCTGCTCGTGCCTTCGCTCCAGCTCCTGGGGATGCAGCAGGCGAGCAGCTCAGCGGCGGGGCCGTGGTGGGGGGCGCCGGGTCTCTCCAAGAGCTGCCCGTGCTCCCCGAAGGCCCTGTGGAGACGGCTCGCCTCCCGAGCCTCGCAGTGCCCACGGCCCTCCTCCCTTCCAGGCCAAAGAACACACCCGGGGAGGCCAAGCGACCGGCTTAGGCGGTCACACAGCCGCGTGGGGGGGGGGGGCGGGGAGCGGCCCCGAGATGCAGCCTGCTGGCCACCCCCCCCGGTGCCCGCGCCTCCCCCCACCCAAGCCCGACCTGGACGCGGTGCTGCCGCTTGTTCATCTCCGTCTCCAGGCGCCGCTTCTGCTCCGTCTCCTCGCGAAGCCG